AAATAATTTTTAAGATAACATTGTTTTATAATACTCAGAATCACAGTGTTGTAAACCAATGTTACTTTAATAAAAAGAAATATATACAGGATCACACCTCTTCAGAGGTATTTTACCATACCACATCCACCACCTGAGCTGCCCATAGTCCTCTATTTCAGTTCATTGTGACCCCTTCACCTTTGCTCTCCATGCACCCACTACCACCTCAGTTTTACAGTCATATTTCTAGGGTCTGCATTTGGTTTGGTTTTGTCTGACTCCTTTATTGTTTATCTATATTCTACATATGAATGAAACCATCCTGTATTTGTCTTTCTCCTCCTGATTTATTTTGCTTAGCATAATTCCCTCCAGTTCCATATGATTTTCTTCTTAAGAGGACCAAGTGTTCATTTTGTTCAATTTATTCCTACTGTTTCTAGCATTTCACTGGCTATGTTTCTGAAGGATCACTGGAACAAATCAATGTGGTAACTCATCAGTGGGCAAGGTTTTGAGATGATGCCATGGAGGCATGCATGTGGTGCAAAGTGGAGGAAAGAGGAAGAGAGGTTATAATGCCTATTGCTGTGGTTACAAGTAATTGTCTATGCCTTCACAATTAAAGACAGCTATAACCTTCCACTCCTTATCTGAAAAGACAGAATACCCATCAAGAATATTATTTTAGGGCCTCCCTGGTGGCATAGTGGTTGAGCGCTGGGTTGTGAAGCTGCCCACAGCCTCTGCAGCACCGGTTCGATCCCCGGCTGCTCCCCGGCCACCGGAGGAGGGTCCCATGTGGCGCACAGACCTCTCCTGCCGCCTGCTGCTCCCCTCAGCAGTGTACGTTGGTCCTTCTGCCTGCTCTGCTCCCTGCTCTGGCTCTGGTGAATTCTCTCACCCTCTGCGCTTCTGACTGTACCGTGTTTGTATGAATAAATAAATAAATAAATCTTTAAAAAAAAGGATTTAAAAAAATATTATTTTAAAAGATTTCACACATTCTAGTGTCAATTCAGTTTCTTCTAACTTAGGACAGAACATGACTCTAATTATTTAAAATAATTAAAACATTCAGATTTAAAAGATTAAACATAACTATAACTTTATGCTGTCTTTAGACTTGTAAGACTCCATTCATCATTATCAAGGTTTTACATAATGCATTCTAATTTTTACATAATGGAAACTAAGATGCATAATGCAAAAATAAAAGCAAATTTTCAAAATAGCTATAACATTTTTCCTTTAAAAAAATTCTCACTTTTTATTAACTTTCAATTTTTTCACTACAAAAGAGTTCACATCATTTCACCTGGAATGTGTAATAACACTAAAAGAGAGAAGAGATTATATCAGTAGTAAGGAGGTGACCTAATTAAATCTAATTATCAGATTCCATTATTTTTAAAGCTCATCCTTCTGTCTTTTCTCTGCAATTTCCCTCAGAGAACTTACTCTGAAGTCTAAAGCATCTGAAGAAGCTAAACTCCTCCTCTGCCTTTGATGCTCATCAAGAATATTGATTTTTTTTTAAGCTGTAAAATATATAAACACCCACCAACTCTCCCAAAAATGCTTCCTTTAGGCAAGGCTCTTAATGAAATACAGGCTGCATTTCAAGTAGCAGTAGTAAAATATTTAATTTTAAAAGAAACATATATATTAGTATACATTTCATAAAAGTTTATGACTGAAACCTCAGCACAAGAGGAAAGAGTGTTTTTAATGTTGTAGGGTAAGTAATTGTCAGGCTTTTCTGCCCTCCTGCCATTAGGATTGATGATGGATCCCTGCGGTCCTGCATGCATGCCTGATGGTGGGCACTGGGAGTAGGGTGTGGGCTTACGTAGGTGGGTTTCACCTAGGCTGAGACGGGGCTTATAAAAGGGCGGTGTCGTGGAGCAGAACACCAGAAGGGGGAGCAAGCTAGAGACTGGAAGAGAGCCAGCAGAGAAGCAGAGGCCAGGAGAGAACACCACAGAGTGCAGGAAGAGTGAAGAATGGCTGACACCCCTGTCTGCCGTGTACCTGGCAAACTCAAAAAAAGCCTGAAAAATCCACCGGGGGCTCCAGGACTCTCCTTTAACCATTCTACTCGGGTCACAGAAAACCAGCCCTGTGTCTGCCTACCACTACAAATGTTAAAAGGCCACTGTGTAGAAAAAGGGGTTGAGATGATTCTCAGTGACTGCATTAAAGCAGTAGGTAAGAGGACCATAACCCGTACATTGAAGATGTTCTCTAGCAAATCGAGTTATTCTGACTTTGATGGTTGGCTATTTTTCTAGAGAGCCACAGAGAAGGAAATGGATTAGATGATCTTTTAGATTCAAACTAAAATCTTAGATCATTTTAGATCCAAGATCCAGGTGAGTAAGCCTTCAGTAAGTCAAGGGAGTCTTGCATTTCATTTGTAAAACTAGCATGTATAGCATAATTACATTTTATTACATTTATTAATACTTATTATGTGATGATATATATTATCAAACCAAAACTGTCACCAGAAAAATTATACATATTCCCTGATAAAACTTACACAGGTAATCTTATACAGGTAATCTCCATTTTACTTTGTTACTGACACTTGTTCATTCTATTTTCTTCTGAAAATATGATAGCACTGAGGTGCAATCAGGAAAGTTTTCATAAAGGAGTTTGGATAGTTTGTTTTGGCAACAAATTGTTAACATTAGTCTAGACTATATGAAAGGAAGCTAACTTAATGTGTAGTATTTAGTGTTCATCAACTGAAAAATTAAGGAAAAAGATTAAAGTGTGCACAAAGGCAGTAGTCTTATAACTTTTTAGAGTCTCAACATCCCAGAAATAGCACCAAAATTCACCTCTTTAATTCCTGAATTTGCTTTGTGAAGTCAAACATTTTTTTTTGTACTGATTTGTGCTAAATCTTAAAAGAATATGCTATAAAGATTTTTTTTCACAAAAAAAATCCAGAAACAGGGCTGAAAGAGTATGTACTGGTTAATGAACTGTAGATGAGTGATTTTTAGAATTTTTTGTTAACAGAAAGAAATCTTGCCAGAAGCATCTTCAAATATAAGAAAAAATCCGCGTCCAAAGATGCTCTCTTGACCAGACAAGTGAACTATCCTGTATAGTCACTCACTATTAAGATCAGGTCAGACAACTTAATTCCTTCTCTAGATGCATAAAATTTGTTCATTTGCAAATAAATGAACAAATAAATGTTTTTTAAAAATCCAAACGAAAAGAAAAACACCACCTTGTTCTATTCACCTTAAGTTCCTGTCCAATTGCGTATTTCACTAACAATTTCAAAACTTGTGAAGAAAGAAAAGCTATATTAAGGTACCAGACTCTTGTGCCAGCAAGCACAGGGTAGCTTCACTGTCAGTTCAGGCAGACAGATGGCTAAGAGTCCGGGAGCCCTTGGGGGGAGTTTCAGGCATTAATGCTCCCGGGGAACCAGGTAAGTAGGCCCCCCAGGCAGGAAGGCCTGCAAGCAGGAAGGCATGCACCAGCTAGCCAGGGCCACTGCGAGGAAGGCAGGTAATGGCACCCATGGGCGCTCAGGAATCTTTTTAAGCTGTCTCAGCTCTTTCTGGTTCTCTCTTGGCCTCCCCTCCTCCATAGTCACACCGCCAGCCCTTCTCTCACTGCTATCCACGCCGAGACTTTTAGCTCAGCGTCTATGCACAGGTGTGCACTTACACATGCGCTCTCACCCACGCTCCAGGTGTCCACAATCAGGCATGCATGCCCCACTCCCACGCTCCCAAGTGCCTTGTGCATGAACACCATCAAGGCCCAGGTGATAGCCACAGAGGCTAGTGGCTGATAAAAACCTGATTAATTCATTTACCCTACAAAAACAAATGGTAATTTTTCTTTATCCTATGATTATTTGAACACATTTTTTTTTTTTTTAGTGCGAGTAAATAAACAGAAGTATAATCTGTTATACTGTGGAAATGTATGGAAGTATGTTAGAAATAATTCTGGATATACGATAAAGCTTTTTCAGTTTTGGCTGGAAAACAACTGTGACCTGGGAAAATCTTTTCCCTGTTATTATATTTCATAATTAGTAAAATGAACTGTCTAGATAAATTAGTTGCAGTTTTGTGATCATGAAATGCGGTGGTGGTAGCTGATGGAGTTTTTGGAGAGAGTGGGGTCCTTGGGTTCACTCTGGGAAAGGTTTCACCAGAGCTCCCCTTTCAGCAGCACACGGGGAGTTCCCCAGTCGAGTTTCTCCATGGGACAGAGACGTTAGTCATATTTAAAGAACAGGTTTATTAGGGAAGGGGAAAGGGACAGGTTTTGCTAAGAGAGGCCTGCATAGTTGCAGGCAGGTGGCCTTGAGGAGAGCTGCCTCTGCTGAGGGAGGTCAGTGAAGAGAAGTCCCTGCATGGGCAGGTCACGGGCAGGCAGGAGGCTGCTGCCCTGCAGAGGGAGAGTTGGTGAAAAGAAGCACCTGCATAGTCACAGGTGGCCAGTGGGAGTGCTGCCCGGAGCTGTATAGGGACTGTACTGATATAGTCCTTGTCTCTTTGGGAGGGGTCACTCCTCTGTGGAGTGGCCTGCTTGTTGCAGATGTTGGGTAACAGGCAAAACTAGAAAGGGACCAGAGATTCCAGGGTGGGCCCAATCTCCAAATCTTTACCCTCAGGCCTGTGCTCCACCCCCTAGAGCTTCTGATCCTGCTTGGGTCTCATGCCTTGTGATAAGGCGCTGGTGCCTAAGGGTCCGACCTCTGCAGCTGCATTAATGGTCATGTTATTCCCCTCCACCCCCACCTCCTGTGTGAGTCAAGTTCTTGACCTTGTGGGGCCTCCTTTCCAGTTTTTCTTTTACTGTCCTCCATCAGTAACCATGAAGGTGCACCACCCAGATCCTTGGGGGTGGGATGGGGGAGGGGACCCTTCAGGAAAGGTAGTCAGCAAACAGGCCCCAGCTGCTGCTCCTTAGACCTTGAAGGGCTGTTCATGCCCAGAGTGGGTGGGGTGGGGTGCGGCGATCACTCCAACCCAGTGGAAGATGGAAGTAAACAAGGTGTCCCCTGCTGCTGGAGTAAAACGGAGGGTGAGCCCCTAGGTTGACGGCCGCCCGTTGGGGTGAGGCTTCAGTGGAAGGAGGCCTCGCACCGAAACTCGGCACTATCAGCTGCCTGTTTGGAGCTCTGCCCCGGTGAGTCCCACTTTTACAGTTTTCACTGCAGCCTTGCGGGTCTTGTAAAGCTACCCAGTTGCCTTTCAAAAGTAGATTCTGGTAGTTTGCACTTCTGGTACTGGCTCTGGAAGTAGGGGTCCGTGAAGTGGGGGTGAAACCCTTCTCTTCTGAGGGAGGGGCTCAGGGTTTTGCCTTCCCTCTGGTGGTTGGTCGCGTTGGCGGGTGGGGTTCATGGTGAGAGTGTACCCCAGCCTCTCCCGCTGGCCTCGGTGGGTTTCTAGTCCTCTTCTGCCTGATTAGGAGTTGTCACTAGTGGGCCTTGGGGATATTTTCAGAGGGAATTTCCATATGTGGCTGTGGACTTTGTGCATCCTGTGAGAGCAAGTGAATTTAAGATCTCTGTGGCTCCATTTTAAACCTGAACCTCCCTTTCTGTTTTCATTGAGGGTTTTCAATTTGATTTAGTTTTTCATTTCTTTGTTAAACATTCAACTTTCTCAGGACTGCTTGTTCGCTGTCTTTAGTTTTCTGTAGTTTGGGACATCAAACAGATTGATTTAAAAAGAAGTGTATGCAAGTAAGAGAGTAAAAGATGACATGACTTAGCATAAAAATCATTCCTTTGGCGATCCCTGTAGACCAATCCTTTCTGTAACTTCAAGGAAACTAAGAGTCCCTTCATCTGATGATTTTATGTCTGCTTGTTCATATTTCTATAAGAAGCATTATGTTTGGTATCTAAAGTCATATTGTAACAGGGTGGTCCCCAGGTTTGCAGGGTTTTTGGGCTGCCCCTCTCCCTGTCCTATAACAATATGAAACATGATTAGTGGTTAGTGAATACCTGGGCTTTACTTTAGGCTAATTACTATTGTAAGGAAAATGAAATAATTTTATTTGCTCATCTGCTGCTGTGATGTGCAGGCACTTGTGTGCACTTTGGGGTGGCTGGGAGGGAGGGAGACCTGGAGCAGTCAGGAAAAATATAGTAAGTTCTCACTTAACCTCCATAGCTTCTTGGAAATTGGGGCTTTAAGGGAAAAGAGAACCCAGGCCCTCAGTATCATTTCCTTACATTCAGCATTAAATGGAAGGACCTGCTGTTTTTATTAAAGAGACAGGTGAAATGACAGCACAGTATAGAAATAATACTGCAAATAGATTGGGAGGATCCATAATAATGTACTTCCTAAGGAAAAATACCTTGTAATGAATTCATTAGGCATTTTATTAAAATGATAACAGTATAATGCAACCTGACACTAACGGACTTTCAGATTCTTTGAATAACAAGGAGCAAATTTGAAGTTACATTGATGTCACTGAGCCATGCAGCTTTTGATTAGTTTCCTTTTCAGCTTGATATGGAATGCAAATTGCTCAGGTCCATTCACTATTGTAAGCATTAAAAGGACTGCCTGTTCACATTATCCTGATATGTCATCACTTTGGGGGATTCATTAGAAAGATAAACATGGCTTATGACTGAGTTAGAGTCATCTCAGCGGGACTTTAAACCGTTAAAAGTATGTGTTCCTCTTCAAAAGAGGAGAGGCGATGCAAGCAGTAACTTTTTATGTCTGGAGTAAATAGGAATTATTATGTTTTTTGTGGCAGTGAATTAATCACCTGGAGTTTTACATCTGATCCTCACTAGGTGAAAGAGTTCTATTCAGATTAGTCAACCTTTGTTTGAACTACTTCAGCTTTGAATAGTTAATATGTTATTATTCTTTGAGTTAGCTTTCATTGTGGGTAATTTAGAAAAAATAATTTATATTTCATTGCCAAAATAGATACTATCATACCTCAGCTGTGAAGTCTTCTCTGATGTCAGGACATCTTCTCTTACTTTCTCTGTCTTTGATGTGACACTTTTTGTCTTGCACTATAATTTCTTTTGCCTATTGGTGTGTTATCTCCACAAAAAGGTTTTTAAGCTACCTGAAAATCAGTCATTTATCTGAAACCTCTTTTTAGTTCAGTTTTTCTAGTCATTCATTAACTCTTGGTAAAGTTTTGCATTATAAATTCCCTTAACATATAACATGATTTTTTTTTTCCTAAATAAATGTCTTGTTCTGATAATGCAAGTAAAACACTAAACTGAAGTTGCCCCTTATCTTTTGTGATCTTAAATCATAATTTGCAAGTCAGTTTCTACCAACACTAGAGAGGAAGTTCAATTATTTGCTTATTTATGCATAATTTTTCCAAATAAGTGTATTACATACATATATATAAATTTATTATCTAGAATAAAACCTATCTGGAATTTAGTCTGCCAACTAGATACTGTTTGTTGATCTAATCATCAGGTTCTTCAACTGTGAAAGTACAGAATTTGTAATTTCAAGAAGTGTGAATACCAAGAGTCCTGGAGTTTTACTTGTTAAAATCTCTCATGATCTTCCACTGCCATATAGCTTGTACATTAACCAGTATGTGTTGAGTGCATATTATAAATTGTTATAGGACAGGGAGAGGGGCAGCCCAAACCCCGCAAACCTGCCTATTCTAAATGGGTTCTGCCATCTGCCGCATCAACACAAAACATATGAGACTTTAATGGGAAGGAACTTTAATAAAACTAGGAAACAATACAGGAAAGGCAAAGAGTCTAGTTTCTAAATGAAGCACCCAAAGTTAACCGCCCCCTCGTGGGTAAAAGTCCATCCATCTGGGATCGGCCCAGAGCAAGGCCCCAAAGCCTGCCCCAAGTCTAAAGCATCTTCCAGTGGGGACCCACAGAAAAGGGTCAGAAACAACCAGACAAGCCCGGAAGGAAAAGAGCAAAATCAACATCAAGATAAAAGCTGCCATTGTCACCTCCCCACTGGTCTCACCCTCATCTGTGTCACCCAGTCCACGACCAAAAGACAAGCACAGTTTCTTCACGTGTCTCTAGGCTCCATGCGCCTCCTCCAGGTCTCCTGGCTCCATCCTGCTCCTTCCTTCCTCAGTCTCTTCTGCCTCTTCTCCTCTCCCTGCTCAGCTCCACCCTTTTGGGTGGGGCAGGGAACCTCCCCCTTTCCTGGGGACCACCCTGTTACAAAATTAGTAATTTTATAGTTACATGGGATGCCACAGTAAATAAAAAATCCTTACATTTTTAGGAATTAGCAAAGAATACTAAATCAAGAATACTATAACCTACACAAATGGGTGGAGAAGGATTCTTCATAGAAGGAGTTACATTTGTGAAGATACTTTAGTGAAAAAGTCATCTTACTTGTACATATACACCATGGAATATTACTCAGCATTCAAAAAAGATAAACACATGCAATTTGCAGCAACATGGATGGAGCTGGAGGGGATCATGCTCAGCAAAATAAGCCAGAAAGAAAAAGAAAAATACCGGATGGTCTCACTCATAGCAGGAATCCAGAAAACTTAAAAAAGGGACCAGGAAAAAGAATAACTATAAGAAAGAAAATATCAAAATCAACAAATAACTATGAACAAGAGACACTCTATGGGACGTGGGGGGCGGGGAAAGGAGGACTTGGAGTCAAAATAAGGGGGTTGTAATTGTAAGGGGAATATAAAAATAAAATTTAAATTAAAAAAAAAAGTCATCTTACTGTTCAAGGGAACAGAGTTCCAGAAAGTTTAAATGGCATGTGCAAATATTCTGAGAATAAACCCTGCTTGGTATCACTGTAATGACTTCATATAGTTAGCACTTTATGAGCAAAGAGAAATATGACAGAAAATACAGCTGGAGAGAGGCTCAGGTGTCTGGTCATAGGATCTTGCAGAGCACAGAAAGGATTTTAGATTGTGATATGATAAGCCTTTGATAGGTTGGATTCAACTGAGACATGACGTATGCAAGATACATAATGGTTAACATGAACTGTCAGAATTACTGCACTGGTAAAAAATGAGTTACGCAAACAGAGTCAACTCACAAGTATTTAAAACACTAAATATACAGGCTCTTTTTAAAATGTATTCAAGGAGGGAAATCAAAACATTTTGTGATTATATTGGCTGAATAGCTGCTCACGTTTGAGATAAATCTCACACATATAATTAAGTCACATGCAGACTTTGAATCTTAGAGATTAGCCCCCAAATACAAAGATAATTCATTTGTTCATTTTTGTTACTATCTTCAAGTGATGGGAAACTGTACCTGGGTACTGTAGAACTTCAAAAGGGTTTAGTGACCCCCAAGACCAAGGTGGTTGCAACAGTAATGAATGGTTAGTGGCTTTAAGTAGTTTAGAGTCACTCTATTCTGTTCTGAATTAATCCAGTTATTTTTTCAGTCAGCCTTCTCTGGTCTCTTGTTTGGAACCCATTTGAGACACATTACTGCCATAATTCAAGTTCTACTACCAAATAAATGTAAATAAAAACATAGAGGAATATAATTGTGTCTGTTGGACTATTGTCCTAATGTCAAGTAACAAGCTATGGCGTGCAGGCCATCTTGGCATCTGGAGTGCTTCCCATGAAGTGGAAGAAAATTTTCAGCAGGGTAGCCACCTCCAGTTGCAATGACAGAGTCTCAGACACATAGCAAAAGACTCAGTGGAAGCTGAGAGAAGAAACTACTATAACTCTCAACTAAAATAAACATTCTCAGGAGACAAGCTTGGAGTTAAAGTAACTGTAACAAAAAATTCAATTAATATATATGCAGTAAGTAATATGTGTAGACACCTGGAATTAATGTGGGGGTGGTGATGATCAGGGTCCCTTATGTTCCTTATTCCATGGTGTTTTTCATCCCTCCTTTATCACTCAAACCAGTCAAGATAGTCTCAGAGGGGAAATAGCCCTCTCAAAGGGGTCTGTAGTTATTGTTTTAGGAAAATACAAATTCTGGCAAACAGACAAGATTGGCTGTGTGTTTGTACAAAGCAAGGAAAATCAAAACATTTTGTGATTATATTAGCTAAAGAGCTGCTGATGTTTTAGATACATATTTGAATCAGCTGGGAAATTTTGAAAAAATTCCAAAGTCTAGATTGTACCCAAACCAGAAAGGCAACATCTCTGGA